TCCCGCCACGTTTAGACTAAAACTAGTACTAAAGAGTTAAGCCACATTTTGGTTTTATCCCGTAGAAAAATGGAAAAATGTCTAAGTCTAATGACATTCTTAGAAGCACCATTATACTTGAATGTGGCACAGAGTTCTAAAAACTCGCTAAACGTAAGCTAGGGTCTTCAGATGAGGATCCTCCAAATTGATTATTTTGTATCATTTAAATTATTGTTGGCTTGACTTCAAAAGTTTTAGCCTCTATGGTGGGGGTCTGTATTTTGTATACTTAAGTGAATTTCATCCACCACAGAGTTCACATAGTCCCTCAAAGGTCTGCTGACATTATAATCCAAAACTGAATCTTCATTAACTTGTTGATATGTCATTTCTACAATATCTTTTCTGGTTCCCAATCCTCTTAATAGTTCTATCTAGTTCTGATTCATATGTTTAAGGGTCTGCAACTCTTGAACTAGGCATTCAACTTTAAAGACTTAACTAATAGGAAAGATATCTAATACTTTAAGCACTTCAAAAATATTTCTGTATTTTTGGATTTTCTTTTAAATTAACACAAACTAACTAAAGTAACTAAATAATCACACAATAATTTCTAAATATAAGTTATACATATTAAACTAAAATTCTCCTTAAGTTTTTCTTATCGTCCTTCGGTTCCCTGATAACAGTGTCAGAAACTTGATCTACCCCAGCTATTATTACAATTTATACTAGTCCTAATAAAGGCATTAGAAACTCGATTCGTTGCTTAACAAATTGATTGAGTTCTTAAAATTAGGCATTATTACTCACTGGGGTTTCTCACGCAAGTATACGTATCGCCAATAATATAGGGCTCTATTGAGTCCGAAATGTCGATCCCACATGGAAGGGGAGGTAGATAATTCCTAAGGCGAAGTTATAGTCTACTACTTTCAGGTCTTAGTTTGGAATATCGTTATGGGTGATTTTTCTAATAACTAATCCTAAGTTACGTTTTTATACCTAAGTTAAACTTGCCTCTATCAATTAGTTAGGTGAAATTCAAATTGATAAGATTACTTTTCTCTTGTGAATTACTAGATAGGTTGTAGGCATTACTACTAGGAATTTTGATGTTATAGTGACAAAAGGAGCATAAGACTCATTTACCCTCTTTCGAGTTCATAAATAAGTATGGTTCAAATTTTAGCTCTTGTTTTCGACTGTCACCCTAGAAACTCCTCATTCAAACCCTATCAAAACACATCTCCTTAAATTGCATTGCCTCCTGACTACTTCACCATAGCCATTTGAACAATGTGAATATTTTATGTGGTTTCGCCATTGCTCTCTTAGGTCCTAACCATTGCTCTCTCGAGTCCTCGAGTCTTAATGAATCACAACTGATTTTAACAAGCTTTATGGCTAGTAACAAATGTAAATTAAACCTAGAAGAATACTCATCAAATTAAACAATAAAAACTAATTCCATAATATTAATGATCCTATAAATCTAACCTAACAATCACAAGAGAAAAGTGTTAGAAATATACTCACTACATATGTTGAACACAATATACAACTTCATTTAATCTAAGCAATTTCATCAAATATATGTTTACAACAGAAATCAAACAATATTAAACTCGATACTTAGTTTTTGACTCTGAAGAGAGAAGCAAATTCCAAGTACAAAGTCTTCCACAATGATGCACACGATGCTGAAGTAAAGCCCTTACAAATTCTCTCGAATTCCCCTCTCAAATCTCTTAAGAACAAGTGAAATAATCTAAATCCCACTCTTTTCTATGACATCTTGGTGTTCTTGGAGAATTCCAGGACTTAGAAATGCCAAAAAAGCGCCTGTTTAATCATTCAGATTTGTCAAAAAACTCTTAATGGCATGTTGAAACCACATAGAACAGTTCTGGAGCCCAGGCGCTTCATTATCAGATTTCTTGGGAATTTCTATCACCTAGGTGTCAGGAGTTGGTGCCATGACACTAGAAGTTGGTTTATCATGTTCTCCATTTTGCTTTCTTTTTGCTTCGTTTCAACTCCAATTCACTCCATGTTTTTAAAGTGGTATACCTGCAAGAAAAATATGAAAATAACATTCTTTAAAGTGCAATTTCATTCAAAAATATGTGTTAAATATAAATGAAATTAAGGATGCTAAAAAAACATATCAGCTCGCAATGCAAAGGAAGTAGACAACTTCCTGTGGGGACTCCACCAATACTTTGGAGCGATGAGGATTACAAATGAAGAGGCAAAAATAAAATTTGCAAGTCTTTATCTCTCAAACATTGCTATGTTGTCGTGGAGAAGAAGAGGAGAATATATAATGAAAGGTATGTGCACTATATCCACCTTTGATGACTTCAAGAAAGTGTTAAAGAGGCAATTTGATCCCAAAAATGTGGAGGATTAGACCATAGCCCGATTGCGAAGGCTCAAGCAAGAGGGATCGATTCGTGAATATTTTAGGGAGTTCAAAAGCTTGGTTCTTGAAATTCCCGACATGTTTGACAAGGATGCTCTTTTTAACTTCATGAATGGACTCCAACAGTGGGCAAAGACCGAGCTTAGGAGGTGCGGAGTGCAAGTTCTTGCCACTGCCATCACGATAACTGAAAGCCTAATTGATTAGTCAAAAGAGTCCACAAAGCCTAAAGATAAGAAGAGTGCCTATGTCAAAGGGGAGTAAGACAAGGATCAACGTAAAGAAGAGATCTGCTACGAATCAACTTCATCCAAGACTAAAGACAAATGAATGTCTAAAAATGACAAAACTATATTGCATAACAACTGCGTCATTTGTGGGGGACCTCATTGGGCATATGATTTCCCTCAGAAGAAGGCTTTAAACTCTCTTCTTTTTAACCACCAGAAGGAATAGAGCAGTAATACAACAACACAAGTAAGATATATACAATTGCTGAATGTGATGCAAACTTCAACAAAACAACTATGGAAATAGGTGGGAAGACTACTAGAGAAATGATGGACAAGGTGCTTCTTACAACTTCATCTCTATTGAAGAAACAAAATGTTGGTTTACAAATGACTGAAGGAGGAGGCTATATCAAGTTGGCCAATTCAGCAGGTAAGGTCAAACCATGGAATAACCAGAGGAGTAAAGACTAGTATTGGAACGTGGTCATGTACCTTAGACTTCTCGGTCATTATGATGGATGATTTTAAAGTTGTTCTAAGGATAAACTTTTTGGATCAAGCAAGAGCATTCCCAATACCCTTCGCCAATACAATGTGCATCATGTAAGGGAATTAAGTTTGCTTAGTACCGATAAAAAGGGATAATAAGCAGGAAGTCAAAATGCTATCAACCATCTAGTTCAAGGAGGGCATCCCATGAGATGAAGAGAACTACTTGGCTATTTTTTATGATTCCAATGAGTAAGGAAAGCCCCAAGAAGACATGGCAATGGAAGTGGTAGTAGTGCTTGAGGAGTATAAAGGTGTTTCACCTGAATTACCAAAAGAACTACCACCAAAAAGGAAGAAAGATCACCAGATTAGATTGGGGCCAAGGACTGAGTCGCCAAACATGAAGTTCTACATCATAGAATCCCTCCCCCATACATCCAGTTATAAAGGGAAAAACCCAATAACATTTGAGTTTGTCAAGTCTGTAAGCAAGCAAAGGGAGTTGGCTCGTATGTCACTGCGTGACACTGCAAGAAGAGCTACAAACTGGGCAGACATGAAAATGAGACATGGAGACTCGTGGAGAAAGAAAAAACTGATGTTATTTGGTAAAAGGCGCAATGAAAGCATTGTGTTCTTAAGTGGGGGAGAGTGTCACACACCTTCATCTCAAAAAAGGGTGAGCCACATTCTTTTTGTCATAAGAAAGAATATTTTAAAGAAAACTAGGAAAAGGAGAATAATCCAAGTGACTCTAAAAGGATCCGTCACATTCTAGAGAATGTTATAAGGAAAAGCTCCAAGGATAAATCAAGAATAACATAGAAATGTCTAGGGATTTGCATGTACAAAAGAGTATAGTGCAAAACTATTTAAAAACTAGACTATTCTAATGTAAACTAGGAAGTTCTCTTAGGCTTGTGGAAGACAATAACTAGGAGTCCCTCCCCTTCATTTGGATCATCCAAGAGGCATCCAAGGATTCTAAGCATTCAAGTATTGTAACCACTCTTTCTTAGTGAAATGTTTATTTCTCCAATACTTTTCACTAGTATTCTTCTAAGAGTGTTTTGTGCTTACAAATCCTAGAGTTGTAAGGGTTATCTTGGTTTAGTGCCAAGGAAGAGCTCTAAAGCCGCATGAGTGACTTGAGATAAGTTATTCAATGACATTAGGCTAGGTTCATTTACCCTCTTGCCTGTTTGAGTTTTTTTTAAGTTATAGTTATATAAAGTAGAGTTTTTATAATTTTAAATTTTAATTTTAAACGAGCTTTTCAACACACTTAACCTAAAAAAAGTAATAAATATATCTTTCCAATTAATGCTCTATGAGTCGTAGAGCACATAAATTTTTCTTCAAAATACAATTTGAATCTAGCCGACTCGTGAGCTGGCTCAGGCTCAACTCGATGTTATGGCTCGTGAATTTAGCTTGATGAACTAACAAGTCAAGCTCAAGCTAGTCCGACTAGGTCGTTAGCTCGTGGGCCCGACTTCTTTAAAAAAATTAATAAAAATATTTTTTAAATTTATTAATATTTAAAAAGTTTTGTTTAATATACTTAAAACCTTTAAAAAATTAGATTTAACATTTTATATGAAGTGATTTCTTATTAATTATCATCTAAATATTCATTCTATTTATCATTTAATTATAAATATAATTTAGTTTAATATAAATTTTTTTTTTATTTTTGATGCTAAATAAGGCTCCTCATGAGATGGCTCAAACTTGTAGGATTATACCCGAGCTTGACTTTGATTCAATTCATTCACACCCTTCTTTGAAAGAAATTAGAAAGAAAAAATCAATTAAACAAATCAATAAAATCCGAATCTTAAAGCTACAGCCATAAGAAGCTTTGGAGAAAAACCAGTTGCCGACTCGAAATCCCAAGTCCCCTCGGAGCTTCGTGTGCGTCGGGAGGAGGAAAACCATATCGCCAATCCTGCTTGGATTTCGTAGTGCTTCAGAACCAAACCAGCCGGACAACAGACGTTCAAAAACCTTCGCTTGTCGCCAATTCAATATCTTCCTCGCCCCCCTTCTCAAATCTCAATCGATCATACACGAAGCTTAGCTAATCAGAGTTCTTCGAGAATTTACTGGAAGAGGAGGAGGGGTTCCTTCACTCCTAAGCTGTTGATTCTTTCTCCCGAGGGGTTTCTATTGATGCGGATCACCCATGCCTCCGAAACAACAATCTAAGGCGGAACTCGCCAAGAAGCAGAAGGTTGTAGAGGACAAGACCTTCGGTCTTAAAAATAAGAACAAAAGCAAAAATGTTCAGAAATACGTGCAGAGCCTCCAGCAATCTGTCCAACCTAAGCCTGATCCTTCCAAAGCGGCCGCCAAGGTTATCTTTTCCGACGTTTTCAAGGCACTTCTGCAGATTGATGACCATTGTCTGAACTAACAATCGTTTTTTTTTCCCCTTGAAATTGTGCCCGAGCAGAAGAAACTGGAAGATGAGAAGGCCAGAGAGAAGGAGCTGAATGATTTGTTTAAGGTCGCTGTTAGCCAACCTAAAGTTCCTATTGGTTTGTCGATATTCACCCATTTTTTATTTCGTCACCTTCCATGTTAGTGTTTATAAATTTATACGGTAAGTTTCAACTCCATGGGCACTGCACAGGAGTTGATCCCAAATCTATTCTATGTGAGTTCTTTAAGGCGGGACAATGTGCGAAAGGTTTCAAGTGCAAGTTTTCTCATGATTTAAATGTGCAAAGGAAGGGTGAGAAGATCGACATTTATAGTGACAAACGTGATCAGCAAAGTACTGGTAAGGAGCGACGCTATGCTTTCCAAGACACTTTCTTCCAAGACACTTTCTTTTGCCATTGTTGTTTTGTTCTTGTTTGTATGCTGATCTTCTAATTTTCCAAAAATGCAATAGAAACAATGGAGGAATGGGATCAGGAGACCCTGGAAAAGGTTGTTGAATCAAAAAGGTCAGAGTACAACCAAAACAAGCCAACTGAAATTGTATGTTGTCCTTCTTTCTTAGCTTTGTTTGGTTTAACTTGCTTTTCTCTTTGTGAGGAAGTTTTTGAAGGATATTGATGGGCTCTGTAGTTCAACCTTAATCTGATGTTTAATTCCTTTTACTAATAGATTTTACAGTCCTATCATATATTGCAATTTGGTGATAATGCCTGAATTATGCTGTGTATGTTATTTAAATCTTATTTTTCATGTCCCTTGAGAATGTAAACTTGGTGTAAAGCTTTTTGAAAGGGCATTCAAATTTGCTTGACTGCTGTCTACCAGGTTAGTGTTATGAATAAGATTGATAAATATACATTTTTTTTTGTCTTGGATATTAATATTATTGTGTGTAGGCTCGTTTCTTTGCAACCAAAGGAAGAAGCACTTTCTAAGCTCATAAAATTGGTCAATTAGGATTATTAGGTAACACTTCCATTTTAAAAGGTTTTATTCATGCAATCTTTTTTCTTTTCCTCTTGGGATTCGTATTGAAGGTTGGAGATCGAGTTTGGATAACAATTTTCATCGGAATGCCTTCTGAATTATGTATTTGTTTTAGATTGCTAGCTTCCAATTATTAAGGAGAGGTTTGAAACACATTTGTAAAGTAGAGGAAGTGAGATTCTGAGAGAAACACCATCCTTTCATTCTTTTTTTAACATTTTTTTTTGTCTTTTGCACTTTTGTTTATAAATTTTATTTTCTACTATTTTTGTTGGCCACATCTAGTATTTGTTTAGTTTCTATGGGTCTTAGGACGTCATTTTACTCTCTAACCTCGTAAATGCTATGTGAAAGATGAGAATATATGAAAAAAAAATTTATGTTTTATTTCAATATATTATAAATTTGTGGAGCGAAGTATTTTAATGTGAATTTTAGCACGGTGATGCTATTCACTTGGAACACTGTCATTGCTAGGTCCCCAAGTCCAGTATGTGAAAAGTGGAGGGTTGTGTTAGGTAGTCGACAACCAACGTAAAATTTGTCAAAAAATCATGACATGAATTATTTAGATTTTTGTGTAAATGTTAGAACACCCCCTGGAAGCGACACATTGTATGACCTGAATATAATGAAAAGTGGGCAAGTGCCTCTACATTTGCACTTAGGTGTAGTGTCAAATAAACAATGATTTCTACATTACAGACCGATGCAGGTATAGAAGTTAGTCCATAAAATTAATATTAGGATAAAGTCTTGGAATATAAGTACTCTTACAGATAAATTAATAAAATTAATTGATATTATGGTCATAGAAAGATTAATATCTTATGCATTCAAAAGACTAAATGGTTGGAGAAAAGACCAAGGAGATTGATGGCTTAGGTTTCATACTTTTGTATTCAGGAATGATTCACACTTAAAATAGCGTAGGTGTAATTATAGACAAGAGTTTGAAAGATAATATTGTAAAAATTAATAGAATTGCCTATATTAGATTTTGCTTTTACTTATGATTTTGTTATAGCTAATATTTTATTTAAAAAAAGAGATGAACATATTATTACTTATACGAATGAATCTAATTAAACACAAATTGATTATTTTCTTATGAGAATAGATATTAAGATCATTCCAAGCGAGTATAAGTAATCAACATCAATTATTAGTTTTGAATTTTAAGACGAGGAGTTATAAGATGGGGACATTTAAAAGACACAAATAAAATTATTTTTATGGGTAAACTTATGATTTTAAGATTTGGAATGTTCAAGAAAAAACAAATTCTATGTGTGATAAAACAACAAATACTACTAAACAAGTGACAAAAAATGTACTTGGAGAATCAAAATGAAAAGCTTTTATAAATAAAAATAGTTGGTGGTGAAAAAATATTGTGCATGAAAAGATAAAATATAAGACGTTATGTTATAAAAATTGGTTTAAATGAAAAAGCTTAAAGTATTGAAAAAATATAAGGTGGCCCATGGAGAATTTAAGAGAATATTTTCTGACGCTAAAAATTATGTTTAGTAATCTTTATTATAGATTAGATACTAAACTTGGTTAAAAATATGTGAATAAACTAGTTAAATAAAGAGAAAAGAGAAGTATAGATTTAACTCAAGTGTATTAAAGCTGAAAAATCAAAAAGTGATCTTCTTAGAAAAAGATATTCAACATAGGTGGTTGAGCTGTTTTGATATACTTTTCTATGAAGTTATGAAAGTATGATTGGCCTTAGTGATCTTAATATCGTTAATAATGATCAAATATTTTATTTTTACTGTTAAATTAGTAAAAAAGTTGAGGAGGCTTTAAAGAAAATCAAGGGTGGAAAATCAGTAAGACCTGATGATATTCCAATTGAAATTTGGAAATATTAATGAGATTTGGGATTTTCTTGGTTTACTAAACTCTTTCATATTATTTTAAAAACCAAAAAGATGCTTGAGAAGTGAAAGAGGTATATTTTGGTCCATATCTTTAAGAAAAAAGGGAATGCACAAGAGTGCGCACATTATAGAGGAAGTAAGTTGATGTGCAATACTTTAACTTTAAGGGAGATGGTAATTGAATATAGGTTAAGGCGTCTTACAAAGATTTTTTATAATCAGTTTGGATTTATGTCGGTAGGTCTACTATGGAAGCTATGCATTTATTGAGAGGTTTGATGGAGAAGTACATAGAGATTAAGGAGGATCTATATATGATTTTTATTGATTCAGAAAAAAGTTTATGATAAGGTTCACAGAGAAATCCTTTAGAACGTTCTAGAGAAAAAATATGTTGATATGACTTACATTCATGCATTAAGGATGTTTATACCAGAGTTGTTATTTGTATTCGAAAAAAAGGAATACTGACCAATTATTTTTTTATTCCAATTGGATTACTTTAGGGATCATATTTAAGCCCATCCCTTTTTGCTTTAGTTATGGATGCTCTTACTGGACATATTTAAGCCCACATTTTTAAGAATAAAGGGGATGCACAAGAGTGCGCAAATTATAGAGAAAGTAAGTTGATCTGCAATACTTTAAATTTATGGCAGAGGGTAATTGAACATAGGTTAAGACGTGTTACAAAGATTTTTCATAATCAATTTGGATTTATGCCGTTAGGTCTACTATGAAAGCTATACATTTATTGTGAGGTTTAGGTCTACCATGAAAGCTATACATTTATTGTGAGGTTTGATGGAGAAGTATAGAGAAATTAAGGAGGATCTATATATGATTTTTATTGATTTAGAAAAAATCTTACGATAAGGTTCTAATAGAAAGGTCGATAAGGTTCCAATAGAAATTCTTTAGAAAGTTCTAGAGAAAGAAATATGTTGATGTGGCTTATATTCATGTCATTATGGATATTAGACCAGAGCTGTTACTTGTATTCAAATAGAAGGAATATTGACCAATTATTTTTTATTTCAGTTGGATTACATTATGGATCAGATTTAAGCCCATCCCTTTTTGCTTTAATTATGAATGCTCGTACTGGACATATTTATGCCCACATTTTTAAGAATAAAGGGAATGTACAACAGTGCACAAATTATAGAGGAAGTAAGTTGATGTGCAATACTTTAAATTTATGAGAGAGGGTAATTAAACATAGGTTAAGGGGTGTTTCAAAGATTTCTCATAATCTGTTTGGATTTATGACGAGTAGGTCTACTATGGAAGCTATACATTTATTGGGAAGTTTGATGGAGTAGTACAGAGAGATAGTACAGAGAGATTAAGGAGGATGGATCTATATATGATTTTTATTGATTTAGAAAAAAAGCTTACGAGTAGGTTCCAAGAGAAATCCTTTAGAAAGTTCTAGAGAAAGAAATGTGCTGATATGACTTAATACTCATGTCATTAAGTATATTTATACCAGAGCTATTAGTTGTATTCGAACAAAAGGAATATTAACAAATTATTTTTTATTTTAGTTGGATTACATTAGGGATCATATTTAAGCCCATCCCTTTTTTGCTTTAATTATGGACGCTCTTATTGGACATATTTAAGACAACATTTTTAAGAATAAAGGAGATGCACAAGAGTGCGCAAATTATAGAGGAAGTAAGTTGATGTGCAATACTTTAAATTTATGAGAGAGGGTAATTAAACATAGGTTAAGATGTTACAAAAATTTTTCATAATCAGTTTGGATTTATGCCGGGTAGGTCTACTATGGAAGTTATACATTTATTAGGAGGTTTGATGAAGAAGTATAGAGAGATTAAGGAGGATCTATATATGATTTTTATTGATTTAGAAAAAAGGTTTACGAGTAGGTTCCAAGAGAAATCCTTTAGAAAGTTCTAGAGAAAGAAATGTGCTGATATGACTTAATACTCATGTCATTAAGTATATTTATACCAGAGCTATTAGTTGTATTCGAACAAAAGGAATATTAACCAATTATTTTTTATTTTAGTTGGATTACATTAGGGATCATATTTAAGCCCATCCCTTTTTTGCTTTAGTTATGGACGCTCTTATTGGACATATTTAAGCCAACATTTTTAAGAATAAAGGAGATGCACAAGAGTGCGCAAATTATAGAGGAACTAAGTTGATGTGCAATATTTTAAATTTATGGGAGAGGATAATTGAACATAGGTTAAGGCGTGTTACAAAAATTTTTCATAATCAGTTTGAATTTATGCCGGGTAGGTCTACTATGGAAGTTATACATTTTTTGAGAGGTTTGATGGAGAAGTTCATAGAGAATAAGGAGGATCTACATACGATTTTTATTGATTTAGAAAAAGCTTATGATAAGGTACTAAGAAATATCCTTTGGAGAGTTCTAGAGAAGAAAGGCGTTAATATGACTTATATTCAAGTCATTAATGATATGTATACTTGAGCTATTACTTGTGTTCAAACAGAAGGAGGATTGACTAAATAATTTCATATTTCAGTTGGATTACATCAGGGATCAACTTTAGGCCCATATCTTTTTACTTTAGTTATGGATGCTCTTACTAGACATTTATAGGAGGATGTACCTTGTTATATGCTTTTCTTTGATGATATCCTTCTTATGGA